AAAAATTTAGTTATATCTTACTATATATAAAAAAATAGTGTTTGTGTGTGTGTGTGTGTGCCGCTTTGCGTACAACTTCCGTCAGGGTGTCAGGAGGATATCTCAAGGGGGAAGAATTAGGCTACGTATGATACGTCATTAGGTGCGTAATGGATTGGAGATGAATGCACGCTTACCAGATTTTGCAAATTTTGCTATTTTCGACATTAAAAATCAATTTTTGTTAAAATCGGACAACCTCTTTGTTAGGAATGAATTAGCATAAGCCGGAAGTGGCGGCAGCCTATATAACGACTGAGATGGTGCATCCTACTATATATAAAAAAATAGTGTTTGTGTGTGTGTGTGCCACTTTGCATCCACTTCCGTCTGTCTGTCCGGAGGATATCTCAGAAGGGGACAGGTGATAGGCTACGTTCGATACGTCATTAGGTGCGTAATGGTCTAGGGATGACTGCACACATATCCTACTATATATAAAAAAAATAGTGTCTCTGTTTTGTGTTTGTGTGTGTGCCACTTTGCATGCAACTTCCGTCAGGGTGTCCGGAGGATATCTCGAGAGGGAAAGGGTTTTAAGCAACGTATGATACGTCATTAGGTGGGTAATGGCGCTGAGATGCCTGCACACACATCAGATTTTGCAAATTATGCTATTTTCGACGTTAAAATCAAGTTTTGTTAGAAAATGGAGCACCCACTTTGTTAAGGTTTAATTGGCATATGCCGGAAATGGCGCGAGCCTATATAATGGGCAGGAGGGAGAGATTTTCATTTTTTTGTCATCCGGAATTCGCGAAAATTATGCAAAATGAAGCATATTATGACGCTAGACCGGGGCCAGAGGGTTGAAAAGACGCGGCAGCACTTTTCAACCCTGATTCACTCTCAAAAGCAATAAAGATGTTAAACTAGGCCGGAAAACGGAGATTTTGAAACTTTTTTCAAGCGCTTTGACGCTTGGGCATGGTAAAAACTGTGAAACTGTTTAGAACACTTTAAAACTGAAATCTTTCCATATTTGTAAAGTTTTTTATGCCCTGGAGTATTAAAAAGCTGTCTAGAGACGTTTCGGTACTATTCAAGTTGGGGGGGGGCAAAATTTTTTTACCGGGAGTTTTGGGCTAATTGGTCAGTTTTTCTCGGGCTTAGGCTTAGCTTAGCTTAGTATTGGCTTGGCCTAGGCTTTAGCTTAGGCTTAAGTTTAACCAAGGCTAGGCTTAGAACTGGTGCTGACCTAGACTTAGGCCTATGTTTAGCTAAGCCTTAGTACCCGCAGTCCTTAGCTTGGCTTCGTCACAGCATCACTGCTTTTGGCTTCGACTTAGCTTTGTTCAAGCTCAATTTACCTGTGCTTCGGCTTAGCTTAGCTTAAGAGTTGAGTATTGCGCTGGATTAGCCACGAAAAACTGATCAAGTAGCCTAAAAATGACCTAAAAAATTTTTGCCCCCCCCCCCAACTTGAATAGTACCGACGTTTCATCTATTTATCTGAGAAAAATTCATTGGAAAATTGCTAATGATCCTAATGAAAAAATCCTATTTTACTCCCGAAAAAACCCAAACTTTATTTTTAGAGGATTGACATTTGCTGCAGTGCACGATTGTTACTGGACCCATGCTTCAAGCGTCGAAGAGATGAACCATTTATGTCGCGAAACCTTCATCAGGCTGCACTCTGAACCGCTCGTCGAACAGTAAAATTCTTACCCTAGCCAAACACGCCCTTTCAGGCTTAGCGAGCAATTCAAGAAAAACTACCTGCCAGAAGATCTGCAAGATCGTATGGATGACTTGGAACGAGAATATTACGAGGGGCTGCTAACGCCTCGCGTCCCGCCGGGCACCCTCGATCTTTCAGAGGTTCAAATCTTTCCAGTCGCCACAAAAAATTTTTTTTAGGTGCGCAACTCGGTCTACTTCTTCAGTTAGCGCCTCTTCTAACTTTTATTGCAACCCGTTTACCTATTTCATATACCCTGATGCTCAGAACTATTACGGTCTCATTCATTTGTTCCCCCCAATCTGGTCACTATTTCTTGTTTGAAGCACGTTGTTGAAAGTTGTTGTTTTCGCTTGTTCTCGAATTAATGAACGTATCGGAATAAACCTTTGTCCGGCGGTTTGGCCCGCCATCGCGGGCTTGGTAATGCGCATGACTATGTTTGTACCCCAAAATACCAATTTTACGTCTAAAGTATGTGCTGACATCTTCGACTGGCATTAGTCAGCTTACTAATATACAATATCTAACCAGGATTTAACCAACCTTTTATAGATCACCCCTGGCCTTTGCGCGGGGATCGTTAAAAGCTGCGCACTTTGTATAGTTTCAAGCGAAAGCATTAGCGCAAGACATGATAGCAAAAGCGACCGGGTGCAAGCGCGACAAAATCCAAAATGAGCCTTCTCTCGAAAACCCCGCCCCGGGCCACACTTACGTCAGAGGGCCAAAAAGCCTCCCCTTCCTGCCGACGATCGGTCATCACCCGAATGAACACCAGACTGGCCAAAAACGGGGGTAAAATTCACAAAAACCAACCCGAAACGCACAGGGATAAAAAGTTTATTCAGGCAATATATAAATGGGCAGACAGTTTCCGACGCGATTTCAGTTGGCGATAGTTGGGTGCTAAGTACAGTACAAGCTAATAATAGAGACTAAAAGTTACAGAGTCTTTTTTCCGAATACTTTGATCGAGTAGAGGCATGTGTAGGCTTGTCCGTGGTTTCCATTGACCCGCACCGAAATGGCCTCGACGGCGCCAATGCTCTAAAGTAGATTAAGTGTCAAGCGAGGGCGGAAACGAACCGATGAGTTGTCAATAGAGGCGGATTTCTTTTGATAGCCCGTGAGATCCATAGTGCAGCTGCCCAAGATAGTTCCAGATGCATCGTCCGCATATGTGTAGCCCTGAAGGTTGGGCCGAGCTAAACTGAAAAGAGGTCGCCGAGTCGAAAAATTTTTGAAGCCAAAAACTGAGCTATCTCCTGGAATAAACCATACTTCGAATTCCAAATCTCGTGGCGCGCTCGGTGAAGGTACTTCCGCGCCGTCCCAACCGACATGCTGGTACTCGTTGCGGTCTAAAGTGCAAAATATCCCGAAGAGACAAAGCGTACCAACGACAGTAGCCTGGCCAGGAGTAAAGTGATGAACGCCCTTTGCTGCCCTCGAAGCACCAGCAGTCGCCCGATTGCAGCAGTGGCCTTTCCTAGCAAAAAGTAATAATAAAAAGAATATGTAGCTCACCGTCAATGGAAAAGTGTCCGTTTGCAATGCAACAAAGTAGTTGACGAGCCAATGGCCGAGCCGTGGAGCAAAGGTTGAGCTTGACCGCGCAGGATTGAACTTGGCACCTGAGAATTGAGAGTTACAAAACAAGAGTGAGTAATACCGTATTGCGCGCTGGCATAGGTGAACTCGGCGCGGGCCTTAGGACCCCATTGAGAAGAGGTAGCTTGCTGGTATTTCTGAAACAAGATATCCAAGTCTTTTCGCTAAAATGTTTTACCGTGACGAATCATCTAGCTGGCGCAGCCCAGACTTTTCGCTCTCATTGGTCTTCGTCAGCAGAAGTGCATATTTCGGCGCTCCGTTTGATACTTAAGCTTGCTGGCTCTAAAGATTCTAGCAAAAGAAACCGAAAACCTACATCACGGTTGTCTTTGCGGTTGTATTCATCACTTTGAAAGGTCGATCCGCAGCTCATCCATTGACTTTTTGAAACTGTTGCGGAGTCGCCGTCAAGTCTATCAAGGCGTAGCTTCCAGCGCATCCTAAATCAAGAGTACGAAGACAGGCAATAAGCAAGAGCCTCCAGGTTCGTAAATCCGACCGCTCAGCAGACCAAAGTAGGTGAGAGAATCAAATGTCTACTATCCAGGACATCTCGCCCGCGCATCACCATAATTCCAAGTATTACCACGACAGGTACGATCACGAAGGGAAGAATTTTGTGCATCTAAAACGAGAGTCGCCAAGGCGAAAAACCAGCAAACCTCATTTCGAAAAACGCGTCCATCCAATGGTAAATGAAAAGCGACGAGGCCCTCCAGGTTTCGGCGGCGAGGGTTGGTTCGCGTCTTCTGGAAATATAATACTGGACGGATAGCCATACCCGCGTGTTGAGACTCTTCTCAAAAGACGTGCCGTGCCACACACACTCGAGTTGACGTGACGATGCCCCAGTGTATTGTTGGAGGGAAGAGCGGCGGCGATATTGATCTGCAGGAGGTGAAGCTCAGCGGTTCGTCATGTAAGGACATTGCCTGAAAGTGCTATGGAATAATTCAGGACTAACGCGCCAAGAAAAGCTATCGAACAGTGTTGCAAGAGGATAATAAGCAAGAACGAGTCACGACCGCCGAATGTTTAAAACGGCTTCTGAAGATTTCAAACTTGCAGCTAATAAAACCAGCAAAAATAAAAGCTGTTTTTACAATTTTATTCACGAAAATAATTTTTTTTTACAGCTGTAGCCGACTCGGTTAGCCAAAGCGCCCGCGAATATCGAAAACAAAGCATACGCGAGCGCGCTTGAACTGGACCATTTTGCGCCCCGGGCGCAATTTACGCAAGAACAAAACCGCGGAAGCGCAAAATGCGCTCATAGGCGCAATTGAGGAACGCCCGCGGGCGCATTTGAATGGTGAACACCTTTTCAAGTCTGCGAAAACGCCTAAGTTCCTGGATTATGCACTTATTTATCTTCAGGAAATATTTAAATTAGCTGCAAACGTTACTAGGTTCGCTTGGTTATGGTCGGCGAATGTAGAATCCGAATACTTTGAAGCGCCATGGCGCAGGTAAGGAAGGTAAAGTTTTGCTACGCAACCAATGCCTTCGAAACTTTAAAAATACTTTAGATTCAGATTTATAGATTCTCGATTTATATGAGCCACCCTTTCAGACGAGGATGGTCATCATTGCAAATGCCCAGCGCGATGTTTTGGTATCTTTGGGCGGAGTTTCAAAGTAAGTCGGCAAGAAGCCAGTCAAAGCAAGTTTTCAGGAAGTGGGAACAAAGTAAGTACATCTTACGAAGTTTATAAAGGAAATTAGGTAATTAGCCTACACTTTCAGAGAGAGAATATCGCGCATTCGGGCGCTATCTGTAAGTTCCCAGAAACGAAGCTAAAGCCAAGAAAGCAAAAAAAAACATATTTCAGGTGCGCAGTACGACCATTTTCTCAGGGAACGCGAAGATCTACATTAAGTATAGGGTACAGCATCGTCAAAAGCGGTGTAGTACCCTTTTTTTAAATAATAAAAGCATTAAAAGAACCCGTCCTATACCGTTACAACGCAGTTGGGGCGCCCGCGGCTTTCGACTTTCGGAGCGCGCCCGCGGGC